ACCAATATTTGAAGTTTTGATAAAATTTTCGAATTTGCAATTTTCATCGATAACTTTCAAAATTCGCTATAAAATTAATTTCTTGAAGGATCCTTGTGGAAATATCACCAATTATTAATTAAAGTATCCTCTTTTTAATGCAAAAAGCCGTTTTGAAAAATCACTTTTAGTTCTTGAGAAATAAATTTTTGAAATAATCGACAATTTTTTCGAATCTTGCAATTTTCGCCGATTAAGTTTTAAAAATTCGTATAAAATCCAATTCTTGGAATATGAGTATGAAAATTTTCCAAAGTGTTAATAAAAGTATCTTCTTTCCAATGAACCAACCCGTTTTGAAAAATAACTATTAGTTTTTGAGAAAACAATATTTGAAGTTTTGATAAAATTTCGATGTTGAAATTTTCATCGATAACTTTCAAAATTCATTTCTTGAAGGATCCTTGTAGAAATATCGCCAATTATTAATTAAAGTATCCTCTTTTTAGAGTTGCTTGTTAAATCAGCATCAAAAAAGTTCATTTTGTATCTTGGATCCAAATAAGTTGACATATCTTATCAGCTTTCTTATTAATTTCATTTGTATTTAAATATCGCAATAATGTGCAATGTCACTTGCACAATATCACTTCAGAAATGCAACAGAAGTTATAACATAACGGCTGGATAGATATGCCGGATAACTGGATATCCGGCGGAAGAGGCTTTTCGCAAAATTACTATCCATTCCATCACTAGCTGATAGCAAGGAAAGATCTTCCCTTGTTCAATGGCCATCATCAAACCGTTATTGGTCCCTAGCCACTCTTAATTTTTGTCTCCAAGCTTTGTCTTCAAGTCTCCTTCCCCCTGTTTATGGACCCAAGCATATTGCCCGTCTCGTCCTCCCATTTTGTTTTCGGCCTTCTCCTAGGTCTAGGTTTTGCTCCTTGCATCCTGACCACATATCATGCCCATTGTGAAGAACCCTAATCGAAGATATTATTCTTATATATTGGGCCTATCTATAATTCTAATACCAATTTCTCTTAGACAGAAAGATTACGATCGATAGCCCTTTTGGGCCAATGTTTTTTTTTATATGTATATACATTTATGATTATTTTTTCTATTATAATTACGTTTTGTTGGCAACTGCAAATTATGTACGTGATTAGCTTAACTTTGTTTGTCCACCTACTCCATGCAGAACATTTCATTGTGATTTTTTTTAAATTTTTATTGTTATACTGGTTTTCTGTGATATACAACCAAGAATTAGATGGCGAGAAGTCATCGCCATTTCTGCACACAATGTTCTCATGAAACATGAGATGTACAGAAACCAACAACATTAAATCGAGTGTGGAGAAATATTTTGCCCAATCTTCTGCAACTAGCAAGACTAGTTGTGAACTTAATATCAACTTTTTATTTACAAACCCCAAACTATTGAAACATTGCAAAACATATAAATTTTTTTTTTATTTTAAAGGATTGTTCAATACTAGTAACAACATACTCAAGCATCCAAAACACCCCAGCTTGCCAAGTTTTTCGAATAACAAACTCCGATTGGACCGTAGAAGGAATCACCTTAATCCCGCTCGGTTACTTATTAGAAGCAGCCCCATTGCCATCATCTTGTTACTGCCCCGAACTCTACACCCACCAAATCAACGCGGGACCCACCCTATACGCCATGGTATTCCGCCCCCACGATTACATCCCCGGCCAAAAATACCCAACCGTTTTAAACGTTTACGGCGGCCCCGAAGTCCAACTCGTTTCAAACACTTTCAAAGGAATGCGACAACTCCGTATGCATATGTTGGCAGCGCGGGGTTATTGCGTCGTAGCGATTGATTCGAGGGGGTCTCAACATCGCGGACTCGGCTGGGAAGGGCACTTAAAAGGTAGGATGGGAACGGTGGAGCTTGAAGATCAAGTGGAGGTGCTTAAATGGTTGGCGGAATCGTTGAAATGTATCGATATGGATAGGATTGCGATTCATGGGTGGTCTTATGGAGGTTATTTGAGTTTGATGGGGTTGGCGCATTACGCGGATGTTTTTAAGATTGCCATAGCGGGGGCTCCTGTTACGAATTGGAGTTTGTATGATACTGGATATACGGAGAGGTAATTAAAACAATTCATTTATTAAAAAATAAAAAAAAATTTTTAGGTATATGGATTTACCGGATCAGAATCCGCAAGGTTATTTAGAAGGATCCGTTTTAAATTATGTGAATAAATTTCCTGAGCAGTAAGTTAATGATTAATAAATTAATATAATAAATCCTGTTTTATTATTTCAGGGAAAATCGTTTATTAATCATACATGGTTTGATCGATGAGAACGTCCATTTTTATCATAGCAGTCAGTTAATAAGCGCGCTAGTTAAAGCGGGAAAACCGTACTCATTACAAGTATATCCTAACGAAAGGCATTCGTTGCGACATTTAGACGCGAGTAAACACTATGAGACTACCCTCTTGTCTTTCCTTCAAAACCATTTATAGTGACCCATCCTAATAATTGTCTCACTTAAAATTGTAAATACTACTACTAATAATATTTAATGTAAATTCGAGGCTGAACAGAAAAAAAGAAAAAAAAGTTAATAAAATAACCTCGATGACGACGACGACGACGACCCTTAATTAGCGTAGTAATTTATATCGGCGTGACCTTTACATTTACTTAATAACAAAAATAATTGTCGTTTAAGGTTTTCGCCCACTTTTTATTAATTGTTATATACGCGCAGGATTGATGATTGATTGAATTGAATTATTGTCATGTCTTTTTTTATCTAATTAATTTTATCCTGTCTTATCGTGCAAAGAACTCAAATAAAAAATGATTATTAAAGATTATATATATATACAGAGAATATGTAACATAGTAATAAACGATTTATATTATTTCTTTTATAATTGATGTTTTTATACCTCCATTTGATTAAGTTTTAGAAAGAAATTCCAAACACTAAAGATAAAAACAAATAAGAAAAGAACAGATAAAGTAAAGAGATGAGATAAAAGAATTAAAAATGGAACGAAATGATAAAAAGAGAAAATATAGAATTGAAAAGAAGAACAACTTTGATTAAAAATGCATCTATAAAGACTTTATAAAGTTTGAAATTGCCAGAAACACCACAATTCATGAAAAATGTTCAAAACGATGCCAAAACTTTACCTTCCAATATTTTTTGGGTTTTTGTATTTTCTTAGTGGTTTTATTTTTGATAAACAGAGCGCCTGAATGAAAATGAATGGCCAAAATGTTGTTGGAGTCGTCTGGCCACAGCTTTGATTGATTTTGTTTGCTTATCCTCGAAAGATTTGCATTGTTTCTCCTGATTATTATTATTTATTTCTTTATTAGCACCACAACATACAGGTGTCCAGAAAATCAACGTCAAGCGGGCACCGGGTGACCTGTTCTGGAAAAAATTCCATGTCTCTTAGTTAAGTGGTAATAGACATATTTTTAAAAATGTTAAAAGTCGTTCCCGTACATCATATTTTAACCATGCTACTATAAAAATCACAAATCAAACAACAAGAGTCGTTAGTTTTCCGAAAAAAAAATATTAGTTTGATCAAGTTAAGGTTAAAAGAATTTATGTCTATTAAGTTTGACACACGATATCATAAAAAGGGAGTAGTATAACCCCCTTGGCAAGTTATGTTAAAAGATGACACTTGCCATTTTTCTTTTCCTAAAAAATATTATTGCCTGTTTTTCTGCGAAAAACGCGTTATTTAAAAAATTCATAATTTTGTATACTCAAAGACCGCCTTCATCATAGCGGCTGATATTGATATTTAACTGGATAGAAAGGGAGCGAGATCGCTAGAAACGTCAAAAAATTGACTGTTGGAATAAGACGAGCGGTTCCATCAAGACTTAATAGCGCCTTTTACACCAAGAATTTTTTCGATAGTTTTGGAGCGCACACAAGCACTTCACACTGACTGGTGTGAAGAGTCGATTTATTGCTAGACTGAAAGAACAAATGCCAAACGCTTGTTGGATGCATTGCTTTCTCCATCGCCAAGCTCTTGCAGCCAAAACCTTGCCACAAGAATACAGTCAAGTTCTAAATATTATTATTAACATTGTAAATTCAATCAAAGGAAAAGCGTTGCAGACTCGATTGTTTCGAATCATTTGTGAAGATATGGGGGCACTACACCGCAATTTGCTTTACGACACAGAGGTTAGGTGGTTATCAAAAGGCAAAGTACTGACCAGAGTTATGGAACTTCGCGTTGAACTATTAGTATATTTACAACAAGCCAAGTCACATTACTCTGAATTCATTTCTGACCCCTTTCCGACTTATTTGAGCATTTAAATAACTTGAATAAAAGTCTTCAAGGGCGGGATGAAAATGTCATTACAGCAAAAGACAAACTCCATGGCTTTATAAAAAAATTGAATTGTGGTCATCATCTATAAATCAAAACAACTGTGATTCATTTTCGTCGACACAGTCTTTCATTGAAGAAGTCGGAAGCGAGATAAACATTAACTCATATATATTTGGTATGAAAATGGTGTTAGATAATTTGAAGAAAGAGTTGTGTCATTACTTCTCAGTGCAAGAGATATCGATTAACACTAGGCAAAGATGGATCTTAAATCCGTTTTTAAATACAGCTATAAATGAGGCAAATTTAGCAACTAAGCTCAAACAGAATCTGCTGGAATTATCTGCCGATGGGATGTTACACTTGAAATTCAAGTCTGAAAATTTGTATACCTTTTGGTTAAAAAGAAAAACAGAATACCCGGAATTAACAACCGAGGCTTTGAAGTGTTTGATTCCATTTTCTACCTCGTACTTGTACGAGTTGACATTTTCATCAATGGCCCAAATAAAAAGTAAACTAAGAAATCGCTTAAATTTGAAAAGCGATTTAATACTTAACCCTAGAATACTATTCCTTTACTTCTTTCAAGTGATTGCCCGTTTCAACGTTCTCAGTAGCTTCATAGCTAGTCGTGAGCTATACGTCAGTGTAGGTGATCGTGCGTAATTGTTTTCCAGTATTAGTTATTTCGAAAGGTTGTCGTCAATTTTACGACGGAATAGTGTTGACGTATGTTCGCGAAATTTGTACAATTTTCGAGAGATTCAATTTTTCTAACAAGTAAGAGAATTTTATCCTAATTTATTATGTTCCTAATACTAATCGATCTTTTAGTAAAATGTCGTCCAAAAGACCTTTGTCTGAACTTGAATTACAANATCCAATTCTTGGAATATGAGTATGAAAATTTCCCAAAGTGTTAATAAAAGTGTCTTCTTTCCAATGAACCAATCCGTTTTGAAAAATAACTTTTAGTTTTTGAGAAAACAATATTTGAAGTTTTGATAAAATTTTCAATGTTGCAATTTTCATTGATAACTTTCAAAATTCATTTCTTGAAGGATCCTTGTGGAAATATCGCCAATTATTAATTAAAGTATCCTCTTTTTAGAGTTGCTTGTTAAATCAGCATCAAAAAAGTTCATTTTGTATCTCGGATCCAAATAAGTTGACATATCTTATCAGCTTTCTTATTAATTTCATTTGTATTGAAATATCGCAATAATGTGCAATGTCACTTGCACAATATCACTTCAGAAATGCAACAGAAGTTATAACATAACGGCTGGATAGATATGCCGGATAACTGGATATCCGGCGGAAGAGGCTTTTCGCAAAATTACTATCCATTCCATCACTAGCTGATAGCAAGGAAAGATCTTCCCTTGTTCAATGGCCATCATCAAACCGTTATTGGTCCCTAGCCACTCTTAATTTTTGTCTCCAAGCTTTGTCTTCAAGTCTCCTTCCCCCTGTTTATGGACCCAAGCATATTGCCCGTCTCGTCCTCCCATTTTGTTTTCGGCCTTCTCCTAGGTCTAGGTTTTGCTCCTTGCATCCTGACCACATATCATGCCCATTGTGAAGAACCCTAATCGAAGATATTATTCTTATATATTGGGCCTATCTATAATTCTAATACCAATTTCTCTTAGACAGAAAGATTACGATCGATAGCCCTTTTGGGCCAATGTTTTTTTTTATATGTATATACATTTATGATTATTTTTTCTATTATAATTACGTTTTGTTGGCAACTGCAAATTATGTACGTGATTAGCTTAACTTTGTTTGTCCACCTACTCCATGCAGAACATTTCATTGTGATTTTTTTTAAATTTTTATTGTTATACTGGTTTTCTGTGATATACAACCAAGAATTAGATGGCGAGAAGTCATCGCCATTTCTGCACACAATGTTCTCATGAAACATGAGATGTACAGAAACCAACAACATTAAATCGAGTGTGGAGAAATATTTTGCCCAATCTTCTGCAACTAGCAAGACTAGTTGTGAACTTAATATCAACTTTTTATTTACAAACCCCAAACTATTGAAACATTGCAAAACATATAAATTTTTTTTTTATTTTAAAGGATTGTTCAATACTAGTAACAACATACTCAAGCATCCAAAACACCCCAGCTTGCCAAGTTTTTCGAATAACAAACTCCGATTGGACCGTAGAAGGAATCACCTTAATCCCGCTCGGTTACTTATTAGAAGCAGCCCCATTGCCATCATCTTGTTACTGCCCCGAACTCTACACCCACCAAATCAACGCGGGACCCACCCTATACGCCATGGTATTCCGCCCCCACGATTACATCCCCGGCCAAAAATACCCAACCGTTTTAAACGTTTACGGCGGCCCCGAAGTCCAACTCGTTTCAAACACTTTCAAAGGAATGCGACAACTCCGTATGCATATGTTGGCAGCGCGGGGTTATTGCGTCGTAGCGATTGATTCGAGGGGGTCTCAACATCGCGGACTCGGCTGGGAAGGGCACTTAAAAGGTAGGATGGGAACGGTGGAGCTTGAAGATCAAGTGGAGGTGCTTAAATGGTTGGCGGAATCGTTGAAATGTATCGATATGGATAGGATTGCGATTCATGGGTGGTCTTATGGAGGTTATTTGAGTTTGATGGGGTTGGCGCATTACGCGGATGTTTTTAAGATTGCCATAGCGGGGGCTCCTGTTACGAATTGGAGTTTGTATGATACTGGATATACGGAGAGGTAATTAAAACAATTCATTTATTAAAAAATAAAAAAAAATTTTTAGGTATATGGATTTACCGGATCAGAATCCGCAAGGTTATTTAGAAGGATCCGTTTTAAATTATGTGAATAAATTTCCTGAGCAGTAAGTTAATGATTAATAAATTAATATAATAAATCCTGTTTTATTATTTCAGGGAAAATCGTTTATTAATCATACATGGTTTGATCGATGAGAACGTCCATTTTTATCATAGCAGTCAGTTAATAAGCGCGCTAGTTAAAGCGGGAAAACCGTACTCATTACAAGTATATCCTAACGAAAGGCATTCGTTGCGACATTTAGACGCGAGTAAACACTATGAGACTACCCTCTTGTCTTTCCTTCAAAACCATTTATAGTGACCCATCCTAATAATTGTCTCACTTAAAATTGTAAATACTACTACTAATAATATTTAATGTAAATTCGAGGCTGAACAGAAAAAAAGAAAAAAAAGTTAATAAAATAACCTCGATGACGACGACGACGACGACCCTTAATTAGCGTAGTAATTTATATCGGCGTGACCTTTACATTTACTTAATAACAAAAATAATTGTCGTTTAAGGTTTTCGCCCACTTTTTATTAATTGTTATATACGCGCAGGATTGATGATTGATTGAATTGAATTATTGTCATGTCTTTTTTTATCTAATTAATTTTATCCTGTCTTATCGTGCAAAGAACTCAAATAAAAAATGATTATTAAAGATTATATATATATACAGAGAATATGTAACATAGTAATAAACGATTTATATTATTTCTTTTATAATTGATGTTTTTATACCTCCATTTGATTAAGTTTTAGAAAGAAATTCCAAACACTAAAGATAAAAACAAATAAGAAAAGAACAGATAAAGTAAAGAGATGAGATAAAAGAATTAAAAATGGAACGAAATGATAAAAAGAGAAAATATAGAATTGAAAAGAAGAACAACTTTGATTAAAAATGCATCTATAAAGACTTTATAAAGTTTGAAATTGCCAGAAACATCACAATTCATGAAAAATGTTCAAAACGATGCCAAAACTTGATATTTTTTGGACTTTCTTAGTGGTTTATTTTTTTTTATTTTTGATAAACAGAACGCCTACAATCGTGGTCACTACAGAACACTATTTTTTGAAAATGAATGGCTAAAATGTTATTGGAGTCGTCTGCCCACAGCTTTGATTTTCCTCGAAAGATTTGCATTGTTTCTCCTGTTTATTATTATTTATTTCTTTATTAGCACCACAACATATAAAGAATACAATAGCACAAAAATAATAACAGTACTGCTAATAACAGGACCAAGCCAAGGTACACAAGTATCTTGTTTTTCATTGGCCCTACCGAGGAGTTATAAAAACTTAAGTAATAATTAAGCGAAGAAGAATCAAAAGGAAGAAATATACAGAGGTAGATGCAAAAATTTATCTACTGTTGTACGCCTTGAAACCCAGCACACTCCTGCTTTATCGAATCCGCAATTTTGTTATAAACATTCGGCATACAATACGAAAAAGATCGTTTAAATAATTGTAAACTATGCACATAGGAGTATTTGATACTCATTGTTGATCAAATTTTTTTTTTATACTTTATGTGTTTAAAATCGTTATTAAAGCTGTTTTAAAATTGAAAAGTGTAAATATAACTAAAAATTATAGTAATTGCATGTAAATTTTATTAATGCATAAATTTGTGACCTGGAGTATGAAAAGGTGGAAAAACAATAAATTTTTTAACAATCTAAGAACCAAGCAAATTGAAATAAACTAAAGTTGTTGTACCATAAATGTAGTCCTAATAAGTTAATCGGACTCGTTACATGAGCTATTCTCAGAAGAATCGTGTTCATGGAAACTTTCTTGTGTTGAGGTTATTCTAGATGATGATGGTAGAAAGAGTTGAATCGTTTCTTTGGAAAAGGCTTCGATGATTTTTTTGGTAACGGACGTATACTTGTTAACAGAGGATCCGAACTCAGCAGTAATCGATTTATAATGTCTTTATTACACATCTCGTGAAAATTTTTTTGCAAACCCTTGCTGATATGCTCGAAAATGTTTATTTCTGATTTCAGCAGCCTCCTCTGAAAGTTGTCCAATCGATAACAAAGCATGCGAAATGATATCTGAACCATGCACTAAAACTTTATGCATAGTTGGGGTCATCGGATGCCAGCTGTATGAACTTATGTACAGTTTAGCTGTTTCTATGGCATATTTTTCGAATTTACAAATATCAATTTCATATTCGCTGCTTCTATACAAGCATATAGCTGCATCTGATAGACCAATGAAATGAAAAACTGAAAAGAGAGTTTCATGATGTAGTACATCAAAAGCCTTAGAAAAATCAAGTAGTACAAGCGCGGTGCTGAGACCCACATTCATCACCCGAAAAATATCGTCAGTCGCATCCAACAGAGCAGATGAGCAACTAAAGCCAGGCCTAAATGCAGACTGTTTGCTAGGAAGGATACTAAATCTCTCCAAGTGCCTTCTCAGTCTATTGTTGGATTGTTGGTTTTGGCTAAGGGAAGCACCAAAGTGAGCTTCCAATCATCAGGAAAAACGGAATGTTCAATACAAAAGTTAAAAATATGACAGATAAATGGCAAACTAGTTGGACAGCAAAGTAATAACATTTTACTAGCAAGGCTTCTAAAATTTTCTCTTCAGAGGTAAAGGTTTCAGTTACCTGCGCCAAAACGTTGCAACTATAAGAAGCAATCAGGTTCGCATCTTCAGCAAGTTGGTTTTGGGAACCCAAGAAATTCAGTCAGGAATTTCACGATTTTTGCTGCGGCAAACACCAAGTGATCTGAAAGCGTTTCAAAGATTACGTGAGTTGTCACAATCAAAAAGACGGGCGGGGTAAGCTTTTTTCTCGCGCAAAACAAACAGTGAAATTATGTATTGATTCAGGAAAAAGACCTTCTTCAGCCCTCAAATCAATCGAAAAAACATCAACATCAAAGTCCCTAAAATTTCTGCGAATAACACTTTAGGCGCAAAAACGGTAGAAATAAAGTTAAAAGAAGCATAAATCAATGAGTGATCAGACACACCATAAGAATCTACCACTCCTGAAGTCTCGACGGGTGCATCAACATCAGTGACAATATTATCAATGAGGGACGATGATGTAGTTGTAACACGGGTAGACGAATCTGTTATTAGTTAGTAGGCATAATACACTCCACACCAATACAAGTTGAGCGACAAAAATTGCAGTGCCTCGGTCGCAAGCGACTTCGGCTTGGTTCCTTGAATCCATTATTTGAGTAGCTTAGATTAAAAGCGGGCAAATCCACAATTTATCATTTTCGGTTTTATTTTATTTTGCAACTCTAAATGGGTCTCATGTGAAGGGCATGTTTTCCCCTTCTCATTTGTGTCGAAACAGACCATATCCCATGGAAATTGTTGCCTACATTTTAATCTGAATTGCAAAATCGGCCAAATACACTGTTTGTGCATCAGAAGCGGCAAAATTCACCGCGTATGCGTTAAAGCATTTATGATCATATGTTCGGCAGCGTTGGTTGATGGTACCTCCGCGAATTTACATTCTGCAGCAATTTAGAGAAATAGTTATACAAAAATGTCATGGTTTATCTCACCCTGGCATTCGAGCAACCATTCATTTAATAAAAACAAAATTCTTTTGGCCTCATATGTCGAAACAAATTCGTATTTGGACAAAATCATGTTTACAATGTCAGAAAGTTAAGATACAAAGGCATACAAAATCGCCAATTCTCAAAATCAAAGTTCCAAAAGTTCGATTTGAACACATTCACATTGATTTGGTTGGCCTACTTGTTCCATCTCTTGGATGTACTTATCTGCTCACAGTCNGTTGAGGATCACTTCTTGCATTTTATTTCCAATGATATATTGAATATAATTCTTCAACACACTAATGAAGAAATTACCAGACAATCTGCGAAATATGCTAAAGCCGAAGCCTGGATCTCACATGTTTCTAAGAAGGAATTAATGGCATTTTTTGCAGTGCTGCTACTCTCTGCCGTGAAAAAAGATAATCACCTTCACGTCAAACGGATGTTTGATTCTGCTATTTCGCGTTCATTTTATAAAAGTTGCATGTGTTACGAACGTTTTAACTTTCTAGTTAATTGTCTTAGATTTGATGATAAAGAAAGTAGAGAAGCGAGAAAACAAGATGATCCTTTTGCACATATACGTAAAATATGGGAAATATTCATCGACACCTGCAGAACGTCGTATACGCCATCGTGTTATCTGACAACAGACGAGCAACTTCTGGGCTTCCGCGGCAGGCGCCCTTTTAAAATGTATATGTTACGGGTGATGATGTAAACCGGTCATTTACGATATGGACCGGGCAATATCGTTAAAAGCCATTTCTGTCGATTTTTATGTTAATGGCCGGTCGGTAACGTAAATTCCCTCTAATAGTGGGCAATGTTGTTAGATGTAAAACACATTCGATACAATTAACAACAACGACTGGGCACTGTCGTTAATGACCACATCATGTTGACAATGATGAAAATAAGCAGGGTGTTATTGTGCTAATTGTCTGCTTTATTCTCACAAGGCAGGCTTCCATGGCATTTTGAATTCCATAATATTCCTGTCGATTTACATAAACATTTCTTGGTCTTGCATTTGGTTTTGCACTGACATCGTTGGTATTCCTGAGAACCAGAGGGACTAGCGCAAGCAGCAGCTTCACGCAATGTGATTTTCTTTTCTGTGGCTCCGTGCAAAAGTTGGTCTTTATCGAGAAGTTTTTCTTTACAAGGATTGAACTGGGATCTGGTGTACTTGGATTTTAAGACATCGCTTTCTGTACCTAAAAATAAAAGAATGAACTTTACAGTTTCAATTTTATTCCTAACTTACAAAGCTTGTACAGATTATCTTCAACGTGAGTGATCACCGCTAGCACATTTCGTGGCGATCCACATGCTCTGTCAACATCAGGTACAGGAACACGTACAGTGGCCCCCACATCCACTTCCGAAAATTTTTGATTCGATAACTTCATCATTTTTTGCGCTTGCTTTTCCAAACATTCTCTAGATTTCTTTCTGTGACTGACGATATTTTCTTGAGTTCTCTGTTTCTGCAGTGGAAACAAATTCCTTTAATATCCGTGTCGCCATCCGGTAGTAAAGTGTTGCATATATTGCATTTCAGTGAAACCTGTGAGGCTAAAAAATATGAAAAAAAGTATAACTTTAGCAAAATCTGTCTCAGTTACTTAAGCTCCAAATCTTTATCTCGCTTGTTCATTTCTGGATCCGATTCTGTTTTTTTAGTTTGTTTAGGCGCTTTCATTTCAGATGTACTGTCATTATCGTCTCTATTGTCTTCTGTAGTATCTCTTGTATTATCATATGTACTATCTTCTGCATTATCTGCTGGTATGCGTAGAGTAGTTTCGTTAATTTGCTGATCTTCTTGTAGTGCTGCTGTTGCTGCTGCTTCGAAATCTTGTTCAGAATTAAGGTTTGGTATTTCATCGTAAGGGATTCCAGCTGATGCCAACCCCACCCTTGCTGAACACCCAAACATCGCTTCGTAAGGTGATCTGCCGATACCTTAAAAATACATATCTATCANTTCGAATCACTATTATTTTCAAAATTCCAATTATTTTTAGGTACTCATCAAATACACACATCTGCTTATCACCCACAAAGTAACGGTATGATTGAACGATTTCACCGTACTTTGAAATCAGCGATTATTGCTCGAGGTAATTCT